AAAAAAAAAAAGAAAGAAAGAAGGACTGGGCATAGCAGCACATGCTTGTAGTTCCAGCACTTGTGAGGCTAAGGCAGGAGGGCTGCTACAAGTTTGAGGCCAATCAGGGCTACTTAGTGAGTTCAAGGCCCTCCTGAACTACATAGCAAGACCCTGTCTCAGAAAAAAGAAAAAAGGGAAAGGCACAGAGCAGCCTACCTTGCCGTTCATCCTCCTCCTTTGGTGTCTGTTCCAGCAATGTGTCCAAGGCCCGGGAGTAATCTTTCATCACCCAATAGGCAAGACTACGCAGAAAAGGGTCAGGGTGCAATCTTCCGCAGTCAAATCCAGAGCCATCCTTTTGGCAACCCAAAATCTTCTGATTCAAGATGGATATGTAAGTAGATGAGGTCTCAAATTCAGATTCATACAAACGAGCAATAACCATGGCTAGCTGAATGTCTTCCATTTTTTCAAGACATACCTGCAGATTTAAATATTAAGAAATGCTTAGTGATAATGACTGGCATTACAGTTGTGAACTATCCCACTGTTACACTCTCTCTACTTATGTCCTCATGCTGCAGGGAGAGGTTCTAGAGGTGGAATCTGGGAAAGGAAGTTAACTCATGGTTTGATGGAAGAATAAAGAATAAGACTAGGACATAATAATGTCCAGCCAACAAAGAGCACTTATAAAATAAGCATACAACAAAGTATGTCAATGTCATCACAGACTTAGGTCAATTTAAGCAAGTAACACTCAGTTTCAAATTAAATACTACTTATGACATTTGAATTTACGTATCAGTTCCTCTTAGTTTCCGAATATATTTTCATGTAACAATTATACTACATTAAAAAAAAACCTTCTATTCACATAGTGAGTAAACTGTAAAATTAAGCCAAGTACAGTATTCTGTTTTTATTCTCTAGGAACCTGTATCCAAATATAAGCACTGAACTTGAGAAGCTGAGGTCATGCACGCACTCTGTCATCACCACTGCTCTTCCAGGTGCATGGCTGGGCATGTAGCTCAGTGGTAGCTGGCACGTGTGAGACTAGATTTGATCCCCAGCCCAAGGGAAAAGATGCCTTCTTCACCGGAGTATCTTCTAAGCTAAATTTCCAATTTCAGTATTTCAAGCATTTCTACTTTTAAAGTATCAGATACCTGACATAACTATGAAAATCTGACTAACTTTAAATTTACAGTATTTCTACTTTGTTAGATATTTTCTATTATATCATGTAATAGCTCCAATTCTGTTTTTCCTACACGTTATGTGAATTGCACATAATGATGGTAATCAACCTAAAAAGAAAATAATCATAACTAAACAAAAACTCTAACAACTGCTCTCATAATCACCTGCCAGGATTATATACCAAAATACACAAAGGTTTACCTCTTTACATTTGATCTGCAGTATCTAAAACTGTGATTTTCAGTATCTAAGATTTGCAGAATACTGCGAATTGCTATGCTGTTCCTTATCTATGAATTTATAAAAAAAGAAATTAAAATATCTGTCTTTCTGCACAGGATAAGGAGGTTATGGCCTATGTACTTTAAGTGGTTCAGAATCACAAGATGGTGTGGAAGAAGACATTCATAAACCATTTTTTCATAAATTTTATACCAGGTATCTTGAAATGCAATATGCCCTATATGCAGTTTATTTACAATTTTGTTTATCACAATACCATTCTATGTTGAACAACCTCCGCAGTTGTTCTCTATCCCTACAAACAAGACAAACAAATTGCAATGTCCCTGAAGACCGTTCAGGTCGTCCACCTCTTACCAGCATTTCATAACAACTCTGACGTATACCTCTATGGCATCTTTCAATGAGCCAGCTAACAAGAAAAAGGCAGCAGACTGCTCAAAGCGTTGTTTTCCAAGTAGAGAGAAGGCATTCTTCAAAGCAGCCTTGCGCCACCTATCTTCATTGAAGTTGTGGCTGAAAAATGCCGTCATTTTCTCATCATGCTGTGACCTGGGAAGCAGAGCACAAACATCCCCAGTTGGTAAGATGCCAAACACCATGTTACTCCTCTCCAGAGCGTGTGACAGGAAGGAGACGAAAAACTCAAATATTCACCTAGGACAGGAGCAGTCACCGCCACTAACAGTATCACTATCAGTACCTCTCCCCTTCTCCTAATAAGGGGACGCTTGAGCGCGGCAATGTACACACTCAGGAAGCAAGAGGAATTTTTACTTTCCAGGGTGCTTTTAGCAACATTTTTTCTACAGCTGCTTAAATGAAGCTGAAAAGGTACTTTTGCCATTTGGTGCAGACAAAGGAACCAAGGCATGACGAAGCAAGTTGACTTGACCTGATCATTTTCACAAGCATTCGTTTTCTGACAGAAAGCACAATTTCACTCCATGAGCTCACAACCTACCTAAACAGACCCCACACTACCGCTTTCTTCTTCATAGAAAGGTAGAATAACGCAGCATCCAAGGCATCACTATTCCGCTGAAAAGCAGCTTTGGCAACCTAAATAGTAAATAAAGTGTTACTGCAACTGACAAATCAATTACAATCAATTAATCAGTAATTAATTCTTTCGTGCTACCTCCATGGCTGACAGCAACTGTGGAAACAGGAAAACCTGGCTCTGCTCCAGTCACCAGTACTTTGCCACACACACATCCAGGCACAGCACACGAAGGGCAGCTGACGTTCACTGCGACCCACCACACAGCCAGCACCTTTCCCTGCCCTACTGAGTCGGCACAACGTGAGGCATGATCCCCACCTGGCCTACAGGTGAGGGACTGCCGCTGAGACACCATTGCATGGCGGCAGGGCACTCAGCTTTGTGAAAGTTAAAATGTTAGTATCTATGTGATTTCATAATTGAAAGCTCTCTCAACTAGTATTAATAGAGACATCTGCGATAAATAATAATACACACTAAGCAAAGAAACTCATTTTAAAAACAAATGCTCTGGTAAACATACTTCAGAAAACCTTTCAAGCAAATTGTGACCATTCTAAAGGCTGCATTCTTTCTGGCATATAATTAAAATACACAAGGTCCACCTTTCTTTATTTTGAAGGGCTGACAAATTTGCTCTCTGCCCCTGAGCTACATGCAGTGGCCTTGGCTTACAAATCTGTTTCTAATGATGCCATGAGGAAAAGATTTAAGGAACATATAATTCTCCACGTGCTGTTACTGGTTACACCCTCAAATCTACAGCTGAAGTTACGGAGTTTGCACAGAACAAGTCATTCCTACAGGTTAAAAATGACTAACGAGTGTGTGACCGCACTGCTTTGAACGCAAGAGCCCAGGCCCTGTCCTAGTTCTCTAAGACGCTGACATCTCTTCTGCAAATCACGGAGCTGAGAGGCACCAGGAAGACTCAAGTGTGGTTTCTTAGCTGCCACTGACTGTCTCACAGTTGGTTCATGTGCTACCACGGATACGTTCAAGTGCACAAAAAGCGAATTTTTACTAAATATTTTAGGTGTGTGAAGGAACTTTGTCACTTACTAGACTAGCCATGCATAGTATCCTTTACGTAAAAGGAATGTTTTTTCTATGGGACACTTTCTTTTTTGGTACCAGGAATCGAACTTGGGACCTTGCACTTGCTAGGCAGGTGCTTGTGCCGCTGAGCTGTATCCCTGGCCCCTTGTTTTTTCTATGTAATATAAAGGACAAGAGTTTACGCTTTCTAAATTTGATTTTTATATTTTCTTAAAATACGGTCCACCTAAACCAGTAACAGAAAATATTGTTATTCCTCAGGTATATTACAAATTCAGTGTATATAGTGAAAGACAATTGATATCATATTACATGGACATTTTACAAAGGTCAAGTTTTTGCAATTTCTAAAAAAATTTAATTAAACAACACTCAAGATCTTCAGAAGTACAGACTGGTTGTTCATGACAGGTTTTCTGGGAGATAGCTTCTTCCTTAAAGACTGTTTTTAAACTTCAAAGTCCAAAGCAGCAGTTACCTTTTCAATGCATCTTCGAAGAGTGCTGATATTCCTCACCCACCACCCTATGCCCATGGCTCTCAGCTCTGACCACTGCGGGTCCCCTCGCTGGATCGCTGGGATCATATTGATTAGCTCCTCCTCAGCCTCCGAATGAAAAGCCCAGGCAAAATGGCATGTAGACACACCTACATGGAAAAGGAAGGAATACCCTTCAGAGCTATCAAAAAGAAGAAAAACCATCTTTCACTCATCTGAAAAGCACTGTCCAGGACAAAGAAAAGTCTGTCACGATTCAGGATGTCAGAATATAAGCTTCTGAATCCACGATCAGTGACAATCTCTAACATTTTCCTGAACATACCTGCGTTTTTCCCAGAGAAAAACACAGAGACACCAACACTTAATCCTTGGGAAGATTGCTCTCTGGCTATTGAAGATACCCACAGGTACGCACACAGGCCAGCTCACGCCCCGTGTGCTGCTCAGGCTCTGCTTAGCTGTGGACCATGTCCTGCACACAGGAGCTTGCTGCACTCTTCCACCAGCCAGAAAGCAGATCACATCACAGCACCTCTGAACTCCATCAGAGTTTCGGTCCACACCAAGAGGACACAACCTGCTTCAGGCTTGGCTAATTACAGCTGCCTAATGCTGGTGCTACATGGCTGCCATCTGAGTAAAGAGGCGACAACGTGGACTCAGGGACGTCACTTACTTGCAAGTATACGTGGGTGCTTACTGACAGTGCACTGACCACACTCTCCTCCACCCAGAAGAGGTGACCAGGAAACCGTGGGAGCACAGCACAGAGCCCAACAGTGGACACAGAGGGTGCCGCTGCTCCGAGAGACAGTGCTGCCCCGGCCGAGCCCAGAACGGGAGAAGGACAGGGTGACACAGACTGGTCCGAGCAGCCAGCCCCTTGACCCATTTTGAAGATGAGGTCAACAACAATCACATTACAACACAGGTCTTCCAAAGGAAAAAGACCATTAGTACTATACACCGTTTTCTCATTAGCAACTACTATCGAGTCCTCGTAACCATTTCGAATAATAATCTTAAGTTTTTAAAATTTCCCACTGTTAATAATATTTATATACAAACATGCCATAAAATTAAAATGTGACAAGTCAGGCCACTACAAATGTACGAAAAACATGGACAAAATTTATGATTAATTTTCTCACTATTTAAATCTTTGTGTGCTTTAAGAACAAATTACTATATTGACTAACGTGCTGGTTTAGAATCTACTATTAAAAAAAGAATCTACTATTATACAGTAATATAAAATGTATCCTTTTGCTGTCATACAATCAACAATATAGAAGAACAATATAAGATAACCCCATACCTTTATTAAGTAAAATTTTTATTATAACTAAGAAGACACAAAAATGAGTACAGGCTATCAAAAGAGGCTCAAAAACCAAGATTAAGAGAGCAGTGAAAGGTTTACCTGCCTACTCCTATTATCTGCCTTTTATTTTCTCTTTATTTATACTGCACGCTTGGCTTCTCACAAAGGAGAAAGCATGTGGCCTTTAAGCCTGTGTGTCGGAGTTATTTCGCTTCACATTATGGTGTCACGGTGCTTTCTCAAAGGGGAAGGGAGTGAAAAGATGGAACAGCAAGGAAGTGGGGGCAGGAAAGGAGATGAAAAAAGGAATCCTAGTGTTTTCTGTACATGTGCCAGACTCACACAAGGAATGTAATCATTGTGTACTGTAAATGTGTACTACTTACAAATAATTTTAAAATGTTTTTTAAAAAAGAGCAGTGAATAGATATGAAAACCCACTGGACATGAAGTTACTATGGAAGAAAAAACCCGGGACACCCACAAGCACACACTTTATGCATCTACCAAGGCAGGCTGTTCTTCAAAGTTTATCTACACTCTGCTAAGCTTTTTTTGAGACAAGGTCTCACAGTGTAGTTCAGGCCAGCCTTGAACTCACTATGTAGCCCAGCCTAGTCTTAAACTTGCAGTGATGCTCCTGCCTCAGCCTCCCAAGTGCTGGGATTACAGGTGTGCATCACCAAGCCTGGCTGAGCTTTTGCATCTATACTGATTATTTAACTTTTTCTCTGAAAATTGTGCCCCAGACTATAACCAACAAGACTGGTCACTTTCATCTCCAATGTTTTAACTACAGTCAAAAGGAAAATGGAGTTTGAGAAAGCCTTAAGAATTAGAGGCATTCAGCTCTCCCTAAAAAAGGTACGAAACTGTCATTAACAGCCAGCACCACTATCATTTCAAACTTTTTAAGCATGTCCCAGTGGCAGAGATTGATGAAAATCCTAATACACCATGTGTTGCTACCAGCCTGAGTTTGGGGGTCAAACATGCTTCTGGGAGTGGAAAGCAGCACAGCATTTCTGAAGGCTGCTGTGCCAATACTTATCAAGAGTTTGGAGTTTTCACACCCTTTGACTCAATAATTCAACTGCTAAGAAACTAACATGAAGAAACCATTGGAAATGGACATATATATTTATATGCAAGGTTATAAGGTGATTTATTATGATGACAACTCAAATTTTAAAAACCACCATGAGCTACATATTTCAAAACTAAAGAGTTGAGCAGATGAAATATAGTTTGAACACATGACAGGCAGCTGTTTAAAATCAAGTTTTCAACAATCATGTAGAAGGTACAGGGTAAGTGCCATGTAAGAAAAGTTACCAGCCTTGTCACTATAGGTCATTACAACCTTAGTCATTCACTTGACGTTCATTCTCTAAGGTACTGCAACTTCAGTGCATAAAATCTCAGAAACCAAGCTAGTTGAGCAAAGGTCACAGGACAGCACACAAGAAAATGGCAACTGGGTAAGACGAGTCGGGAAGACCTTCAGGCAGGACGGCCATGCACATAATGACTCACCTGCTGCAAGTACACAGCAAGACACACCCACCACTTTCACACACACCACCCAAAGCCCGAGAGGAGTACCTTGGTGAAGCAGCTGGACTCGGTAGAGAGGGGGCAGCGATGTTAAGAGGCACGTGTGCAGGCGCATAGCCAACAAGTACCGCAGGCCACACTCATCCAACGTGTCTCTTCCTGCAGTATAAGCGGAAAACACATTTGAGGAAAAACGAGTTTAACAGGGCAAACTGATAAAAATAAGTTACAAAATAAGCATTAAACTCTAAAAATTTATACAAACTATAAGATTTTTCAAAGTACTCTCTGGGAATACCATCTTTAAGAGGAACACATCTTTACACAAAACTCAATGAAAAATGATTTGGAAAAATCCAATTACCTCTGACTATAGATAACAGTACTTATATTTACTCACAGTAAATGAAAGAAATCTTGAAATCAAATAAAATATATATTAACTGTAATAAGGTAGGTGAAAGTTTTTTAAAAATTTCCCCCATCAATTTTGATGAGATTTAAGGACAGGTTTACATAACTGAAGTAACATCATTTGTTACACAATTAAACAGGTAACATTTTCTAGGCCATTTAGCCTGACTAAAAAAACAGTAATACCAGTAAGTGCTCCACAACTAAGATGAATCTAAACCTTGACTCCACAAATTTGCTTATTCAACCATGATTCCACTTAGTCCAAAGCTGAACAAAGGTCTGAAAGAACGGCCTGTTGAATCCAAATTCAGGCACTTCTGGAAAAGAGCAATCAAAAGGGCACCAGCCAGGAAGTACTCGGAGAGTGTAGATTAAGTAATAGCTCCCGGAAGAAAACAGATGTTTCAAACGCCAAAATTTAAGCTCCAGCTGCTTCCCATTACCTCTACTCACTCATCCACTGACTCATTTAACAAATACAACACCCACTGCCTGTGAGGCACAGTTCAGGCACCAGGGCTTTGGCAGCGTACAGGCAGTTATCTTCCCATGGGGTTTACATTTTAGGAGGAAGACACAATAAGCAGATCATATGCGGCAATGAATGCCATGGAGCAGAAGCAGAACTGAGAGGCAGAGAAAGCTACAGTGAGAGGCTTCTATTTCTGCAGTACAGCTAGGTAAGAACTGTCCAGGAAGACAAAATTTCAGCAGAAATCAGAGATTTCTGAAAATCAGGAACAGAGCTTTCTGTGCAGAGCAAAGAGGGCATGCGAAGCCTCTGAGAAAGGAAAGGAGTGTGCTCGTGTTTGTGGGACAGCAAGGAGGCCAACACGGGGAGTGGAAGTAACTGCAGGTCGTGGGCGCCCCGAGGACCACCGCAAAGGTCTTGACTTCTACTCTGAAGGACATGGGAAGCCACTGATGTGCACACAGCGGACAAACCACTGTGGAGGACAGGAAGCAGTCCGGAGCCTCTGTCAGTAACGAGGCAGGAGGCACACTGACCTGAGCCACAACAGGGCTGCAGGCAGATGAGAAGTGATGGGTCTGGATACACAGAACTGGTGGCATCTGCCAGTGGACTGTGCGTGGGTTATGAGAGAAGCCATTGGTCTCACAAGAGCAAATGGAACCTTTTCCTGGAGGTGTGCAATTCATTTATCTGAGCCTCAGTTCCCACCTGTGAAACGGAGACATTTGTACCTGCCTTACCTACCGCATGGGTGTCCAATGTGACCAGGTAAGCTCTTTCCACATTGCTGTCCAGGGACAGTTATGTACCAGAAAGCTTAAACTATTTTTCACGGGTTATGGCATACCTGTTTTCTTAATGTTCCAGAGTAAAAACTCTAATACACAGTAAGTATGCAACAAAAGCCTGCAATTACTCTGGGGAGAATCCTGCTCTACTGCACACAGCCTTCTAACAGTGAGTGGCTGTTTCTTCCTTCTTAATTCAGACAGAAAACACATCATAGGCAAACCCTCTAAGCCTCTTACAATTTTAATCCACAGATGAGAAGCTGGGGATATACTACAAAGGTGTAAACCTATACACACTGGTGTTTTCTCACTGGTCCGAGGAATACTCTTTTTTTACCCAAATTTGGAAATCTTATGAAATAGTTTAAAGAATACAGACTTAGAAGAAACAATTTTTCACAAATGAACCCCAATTCTTCCCCGTAATGCCTATGTAATATCAGATGAGTCAATTTGCTAAGGATCAGTGTTTTCACCTATAAAATTTAACATAATAGCTACACATCTACTAAAAGAATATGATAATTAAGTGGGATAAAGTACAAAATGTGCCTGGCATGCAGCAGTTCTTCACTCTTGCACAGTGTTTATTGAATGAATGAATGAATGAATGATCAATCAGTTTTGGTTTCCTTTACTAACGCCACTGTTTACAATCGACACCATTACCTTCAGCTATCTGCATGGAAAAGAATGAAATCCAGTTTCGGGGCAGCCAAAACTTTTCTAGTTATAGAGTGAATCAGGCAAAGCACATATTATACTCAATGTCTGAAAACCTTTGTCTTGTCTCAAGAGACCTTTTAACTATAAAATACTATTTATGCCCAGAACTGGAAAGATAAATAAAGCCCCTGAAGCCTCATGAGTCCACAGAAAAATTAACAAATGAGTCATTAATATCATTCAAAGAAAAATAAAGTAGGATTCAACCTGTTTGAAAAAACAGTAGCCCTGGGGGCATCATGGGAGTTAGGAGTGTTTCAACTGGTGAATTATTAATTTGATGTTTTATTACACAATGTGTACTTAACAGGAAAATAAAATATCAATAAAATAAAAATATTTTTAAAAAGAAAAAAGATACTATATATCCGAAGTCACACAAATGTTTCAGGGTAAGAATGCATGTGAAGATGCACACAAGCATCACAAGTCGTATGTGAAGGGAGCGCCTGCCTCGACTACCTTTCCTTTTATAAGGAACTATCTCATAGAGCAGTAACTGCTGTAAGGATGGCCTTTTCCCTATGAAGTGAGAGAAAGACTGTAACTCGGCATGAATAACTGTACTGAAAATCCCAACACTTCTCTACGCACTGTATACACTGACAGTAAGGCTGTTTACCTGAGTAGTGCTTATCTCTGTTTTCATCGAGCTCGGTGCTGGTGGTGGCCACAGTGTCAGCCAAGGCCACGAGGAACATCTGCTCCAGCCGGGTGAGGCCTGGCAGACTGGAGTGCATGAGATGACTGGAGAGCACCCTGGCATGTTCCTGGCCGAAGTAAGCTGGCCCATACTGGGAAAGGTTTATGACTTTGGATTTGTTTTCTCTCTTTTCTGGCTCTAAGTCAATATCATCCGTCGTTATATCCTGGACTTGGAACAGCTCTGAATACTGATCCCCTGCTTGACTCTCAGGATGATCATAGCCCTGCGGCATCTTCACACTTTCTTCTGAAATTCTGTAGGTCGCATCCTGATCCGCAGCAAGCAGCGCATACAGTGGTAGTGGGGGAATGGAGTCGATCTCAGTATAATCACGAGTGCCATCTTTGCCTATGGTGACTGTATCCTTTGCTGTGCTGCCACTGACACTAATAGTTCGAGAAAGATGTCGCTTACTTCCTTCTCCGGCATCCGGGTCTCTAACTATTGCAACTTCGCCTGCGATACACTTCACTAAATGAGACAGAATGGCTTTAGCCCTTCGAACCTTCCCTAAATCCATCAATTCTAAAAGCTGAGTTGGATGATACTGTGGAAGGGTAGGGGATAGCACATGTGCAGCCTCAAATAAGCCACCGTCCTGAACTACAGTTGGAGAACAGAAAACATCATCAGCAACAGCTGTTCCTTCAACCAGACTTTTTCTTGCCAGCATACTCGATTTAAAGGAAGAATGAACTTGTATGACTGTCTCTTCCACACTGGAACCGTCAACTTCAGCGTCTCCAAACTTGGCAGCATGTTTCCACTGGGCGTACACATGCATCTCACAGTCCATGCCCACAACCAGTATCCCATCCCTCACCCAAGAGAGAGAAACGGGCAGGGAAGGGGTACCATCAACAGAGGACACCAAGTCTATGGACCGGAGAAGGACCCATCTTGACCGAACTCCTTGCTTGATGCTACCACCAAGTGGTAAAGTGATGACAGCAACCCCATCCTTACTGTTGGTCTGCTCGGTCACAATTCCTGAGAGCCTGCCGTACATGAAGATGTTAGCACCGACTCCCACCGTGAGAATGTGGGAGCCATCTTCTTTGGACACCCAGTCCAAATGCACCAAATGCTTGATATTTGGAATAAGGTACCGATCCTTGCTTAAAAGTGCATCTGATTTGCTATACACAAAAAGATTACTATCCACGCTGATCCTTGAGTCAAGTACACTCCCAACCTTCACCAAATCATCAAGATGAATTGTTTGCTCTAAAACCCATTCAGACCCTCCTGTTGATTCACATTCGAATATGCAAACGTGCATGGAGAATTCTTTAGAAACAAAGCCATTGTGGTGGACAGGCTGCTTGTAAGCCACTGCCAGGCGGCCTGTGTACGAGCAGCTAACAGCAACGGGCCTTCCCACAATGCTCACTGTGCTGCTGTTGGCTTCTCCCTCGTCGTTCATCAGGGGCCACCTCCTCCAGTGATAGGTCTCCTTCTCGCCACCTGTAGTACCTGGCAGGCTGGGTTCCATACAGCACTTCCAGAAGCGTACTTTATTGTCAGAGCAAGTTGTAACCACTAAGTAAGGCGCAAGGCACACTGGATAAATGGAAGAGGAACTCAGATGACCTTAAAAAAGAAAAGGCAGATAGTCACAATGACAGAACCACAAGGTAATATGCCAATGATCAAATTCTAGAACAGGATGAACTAAAAGCCACTATGAGTTGCCCTCCCTCACCACCTGGTGTCCTACCCTAAATATCCACTGGCCAAGATGTCTACAGAAGTCTTCAACAGCCCATCAGCAAAATAAAAACATGCTAGAATAATCACTTTACTAGTTTTTAGGTAATTAAATTTAAATGGGACAAACATTTAATTAAAATAAAACTCAAGGGACGGGATGTAGCTCCACAACCAGCACTTGCACAAGGCCCTGGTTTGACCCCCAGCAACAAAAAAATAAAGTAAAACTCAAAAGCAAAGCAGCAAGTCAACCCTTAATCAATAAATGTTTTACATGCTACCATTTATATGTGCCTTCACCACAACATGTCTCCCTGGCCCTCACTCTACAGATTTTATCACTTTTGTCACAGATGTTTGCCCTTCAGATGCCCTGACCTCACTGTCACATACCCCAGACCCCACAGGTACCCCACCATCAATTTTTTTCAGACAGCTAGCAGATCAGTTAACTTACTCTTTTTATCATTTAATTCATCCTTTCCTAAAACTGAAGCAGAACTCCCCTATTTTTTCCTGACTGCCAAAGACTAAAATGCCCATCTGTTACCAGCTACAGGACACAGGGTCATAACAATTAAAATCTGGAGTCAGAAGATCTGGATTCAAGTCCCACTCCATCCAGACCTTCAAAAGAGCAGGAAAGCCATTTAAACATCTGAGCCTGTTCCATCTAAATAACAGGACAGCATGTTACTTCCCTTGAAATGTTACTGTCAACAAGACATTTGAAAACAGTTTATAAAGCCCCTACAAAATGATTTATTTTTGCATGCTCCAATAAACTTACATGTGTACATCCCAAACCTTCCAAATATGAGGAAATAAAAACCTTGCCTAGATCTGTACCTGTCACAAAATGAACTCTCCTTGGCGTTATCTTTCATCTGTGAAGCACACCTGTCCTAGGGATGAATTAAGAGAACCCCTATACTCAGTATCATCCGCCAATACCCAAATAGCATGGAGCCTCCAGGTTTGATTCCCTAAAAGCACTGACAACTCCAAGACTAGAAATGAACACTTGGCAAATCACTTTAAATCTAGCTCTCTGGCATACCACCCAAATCTTCTCACCAACCACGCTCAAGTCAGAACCACTCTACCCAATCTCATGACAGCCTTATCCTCACTCTTCCCCCTGGTATTTGCCAGCACTTGTTCAAACATATATAATAAAAGTGAGACACAAATGAAAGAGACATGATGGAATGGAAAGTCTTAAAAATAATGCTTCAGTGATTTACAACTGAACATATATATTTGTTCTTTGAAATTTTACTACCAGGGTATTCTCAAGTGTAGACAAGATATTTCACATCAAAAGATTTATATTTTCTGTCCAACTCATCATTTTTACACAAAAACTTACTTCTAACAAAAACACTTCTAAACTAATGCACCATTACTAGAAAATAAATATTTCCATGTCAATGCCATACCTACTTGAGAAGATTTCATCTGTTTTACCACTGAGAGTTCATGATTTTCCACCCTGAGCTGCAGCAAGTGCTCACCCTCCGAAGCAGCTTACCAGCTGAAGGTGTAGCTCTTATGACTTCCACTCCTTCTGGGAGATCAAGAGGCTGGCTGTACACCAGACTGGAACTCAGGATCAGTTTACTAGCAGTCTGGAGGTTGGCAATGGATGACGAATGCGGCATGGGGCTCACGCTAGGGGAGGTTTCTGGAGAAGAGTCCACATTCTTCTGTCCAGGAACTGACAGCAGACTCTCAGATGAAACACCTTCTGAAGCTTTAGCTTTGAAAATGAGTTAGGGAATTCATCATGATCATCACTATATACACACGATCTACAGCATGGTGGCGAAACTACAGCACATGTGCCACAGTGGGCATGCGAGCCCTCTCAGTTGGCACATGAACCAAGTCAGCCAAGATAAGGTCTGACAAATTGCCAGCATGCATACAACAGCAAAGATTACATTAACTGTGCAAAAGCACACCACAGGCACACTTTTACCTTTTAATAAAAAGCTGTTTCTATCACTGAAAGCTCTGTTATTGTGTTTTTCTTTTAATGTATGAGTTCTTTTTCTAAATTAAAACCTCAGTGTTCAGGTTTCACTGCAGTGTGCAGTAAGTGGGTTTCGGTTGCAGTTTGGGTGCTCGCCTCTAAAAGGTTCCCCATCACTGATCTAGAGCAATATTAAGTGCAGCGGTGACCCCTATAATGCCAGCTACTTGGGAGGCTGAGGCAGGGAACTGAAAGTTCAAGGCCAGCCAGTGAAACACAGTGAGAACTTATCCCAAAATGTAAATGGGGCAGGGATGTGGCTCAGTGGTACAGCCCTTGCCTAGCCTGGGCAAGGTCCCTTGTTTGATCCCTACTGCTATACCAAGTGCTTCTTAGAAGTACTTCTTGGGAAGATAGTCAATTTTCAGATTTTTGCTTGGATATCTCAACAATATTTTTAAATGAGTTTACTACTTAGCATCACCAACTGCAAGGATACTGCAGCAACTCCTTAGGGATACTACTGGTAGAACTACAGGTGTAATAGCTAGAAAGAACCCTTAAGTTATGTTTCCAATGTCCTTAACCTTTAAACACATTAAAAGCTTGAGGAATTTGTTAACATACAAATTCTTACAAGTAACCCCAGAGAACTGAGTCTATGGATTTGGGACAAATCCCATAATCTGCACTTTAGTAAGCACCCCACGTGTTTCTGAAACGTGAGTCATGCATCAGCCTTTGAGAAAAAGCAGTGCACTTCCTGAAATGAAGACATTTAATCTTGGAGAGCTCGAAGATTTTCCTAAGGTCATATAAGAAGACAACTAACTACCCAGTGCTCACATAAGGTAATAATTTCAAGAACAAATACAAAAATTCAAGAGTTCCAAGCCAGGCGTGGTGGCACATGCCTGTAATCCTAGCAATTGGGAGGCTAAGGCAGAAGGATCACCATGAGCTCAAGGTCAGCCTGGGTTACACACAAGACCCTGTCTGAAAAAAAGAAAGGAAGAAAAGGAAAGGAAAGGAAAAATAATTAAAGCTCCAGACATTGAAGGCAATATTAGCTGACTGTTGCAAGGCAAGTCAAGCTGGGATGAGAGTGGAGAGCAAATCCCTAAGCAGACAGGGTACATGTGCTTCGGTTACAGTGAGAGCTGCTCTGTATCGTGCCTCTCCCTCACCAGGCCATGCACTCATCCAGGGCAGGTTAATCTCCCAACGCTTTCTACATCTCAAGGAGCACTGGCACACACAAGAGAAAACAATCACTCAATTCCTTTTGCTTCTGGTGCACGGTAAACATGTCACTCCATTTATAACACAGGCCACTCAGAATAGGAAAACATCTTTAATTAAATAGAGTAAGACACACATGGCACTGGTCATCAGAAGACACAAGTCCTAATCCTGGGTCTAGTACTAATTAGATGTATTTCCTTAAGCAGGGTATTTTGCCATCACTATTTTCTCATCTGCAAAGTGAAGTTCAACTATTTCATTTCTCTTCCTATAAACCAAGCAACTGTGTAATATATATCTGCATTAAGAAAATATGAACAAGAGAAAGAGCAAAGACGTAACAGCAAAGAGGCTTGACTTTGACACCTGGTCCTATGAAAATTAGAATTTAACAATTACAATAAATTATACATAAATGAAATGTGGTTAAGTTTTCATTTTACTCCATTAGTAATATGATAATTACTAGCTAATATCTACCTTACATGCACAAAGCGCATGTCTCAACGCCAGGCATCCAGAAAGTCCTCAACACTTTTCCCTCTCCATCTAAACTTGGGCCGACCGGTTCATCCTCTGACAGGATACAACACTCTAGTAAACACAATGGCGTCGCACATTGCGGTCAGCTATAGCCAACGTAAGAACCACCCAACAGAGGCCTCCTGTCACAGCTGCCCGAGTCTGCCGTCCACTGTCATCTCACTACACTGCTGTGCCCACTACTGCTGTCACGGACAGGAGAGCAGCAACGCTGCCCTGGCCCTAAGGGGCAGCACTGGGACCGAGGTGTCACACGGTCCTATCATGAGGACCTCTCAAGATCTCTACGCATCTCTCAGAGCCACCCTTGACTCTCGGCCCAATTCTAGAACACACCACATCCTCTGGTGAGCTGAGAATCCCCTCCTGAGGGGCTGGTTTCACACCCCTTACTCCTGCACTTCGGAGGAACAGCATATATGCCGAAAATTAACTCAGAAGGCTTGAAAGATCTTTCTGAATTCCTGCCTCCAGATTCCATTCACTCAGGTGCAGGGAAAGACTATACTGAGGAATCACTTGCCTTTTCTAAAGCCAGTCCATGGCTCAGTCAGACCTGCCACCTATAATAAATGTCTAATGACCAAGGGTCAAAAATACTTTTTTTTTTTGAGACAGGGTCTCACTCTATAGTTCAGGCTGGCCACAAACTCACAGGGACCCTCCTGTCTCAGGCTTCTGAGTGCTGGGATTACAGGCAAGTGCTACCATGTCCAGCACAAAAATACATTTTAAAAGTAATAATGAGTACTATGAAAAAAGCAGATTCCAGATGACATGGCTACTGTACAGTTCTTTGCACCAACAGCTGCTTCTCACACAGTCAAGTCTAGGCTTTTGTTTTTCAAAGATCTAGGCTGGCAGTGCACCTCAGGTGGGAGGGCGTGTCTAGCACGCACAAGGTCCTGGGTTCAATCCCCAGAACCACAAAGAAAATGTCTATGGTGTATGATCAAGTATCTTTGCTCCATGCTACAGATTTCCTAATTTATTACAAGACGGACCTGAATGTGTACAGTGAAAGCACAGCTGAGATAACTATTCACTGAGCGCCTCTTGACAGTGCTAAAACTGATATGCCGTGTCAGGTGGCCATGTGCATTCATCAGCAAAGAGTGTAATACTGATCTATGGACAAAGAATCTAGAAACGGAGTCACAACAGGCATTCCACACAAAGTACCCAGAAAATCAATCAAGTTTTAGTTTTTCAATGTCTAATGACAGTGTGTCTTCAGGACTAACTCGTCTCATTAACAGCCTAGGACCTTGTAACTAAAGTTGGACAGAGACATATTTCAGTTCAGCCTAACTTCACTGTAAAACATCGGCCCAGGTGTACTTTGTAGGTGGACTTTGTCCCACATCCTCTGTCTGAAGCGGCCACACCGTCCTTACCTAAGCACGCCTGCACGGACTTCAGGTGGAGATGCCACATGTGGAGGATGGAATAACTGTTGCTGTCCTTCTCAATGACTACGAGAAAGAACTTCTCTGAAAACGGTGGTGGGCGATACCCTAGTGTTCAAAAGGAAAGGGTAATTAATAAATAATATTGGTTTATTTTAATAAGGTCACATTATCTACTAATGCATACTCATGAATATAAGAAATGACATTCCAAGTTAGGTAAAAGTCATATACATTATTTTTGCATAGCACACCTGGGCTGTCAGAATCAAGGATGTTGATTTCACTCACTTGTTTACATTATGCCATTTTCCTCTGCCCACAAAACGTCCACGCAGCTTTCTGACACATTACATTAGAACCTTTAGACGTCATTTTATGCCATTTATCCCATTTTTAATGTAAATGACTTTAGTGGAGGAAAACACAAGGGGCCATTTTATTTTTAACTTATTAGTTAAGAAAGGATAATGTGTTTCTATAGTGTTAAAACAAATTTTTAAAAGCTAAGAATACCTCTTGCCAGGCGTGGTGGCACACGTCTGTAATCCCAACACTTGGTAAGCTAAAGCAGGACTGCTGTGAGTCTGAGGCCAGCCTGGGCTACACAGTGAGACCCTGTCTGAAACACACACACACACACACACACACACACACACACACCCCTCTTGATATGTGTGAAAGTTGGGGGGAATAGAGTGCTGTGGTCTGAATACGCTTTGTCCCCTCCAGAGCTCATGCTGGAACTTTATTCCCACTCTGAGGCAGGAGGGAGGCAGACACAATCTGAGCACAGTGTTTGGAGGCGGGCCCCCAAGGAGGTGGTTAGGATTAGACACGGTCATGGTGACACCTCCATGACTGAATGCTGGGGACTTCCCAACAAGAGGAAGACAGCGGGCAGCCACACCAGCTCACTCTCCCAGGTGGTGGCGGGTGACACCTGGGACTCTGCAGCAGGGAAGCCGTCGTCATTTCCAGCCTTTCAGCCCTGCACTAGAACCGTGAGCCAAAGTGACCCTCCTTCCTCTGGAATTTACCCACTCAGTGGTACTGTGTGGCTGGCACCAGAAAACAGACCACTGCAGGGAAGAACAGATTCTAGGTGAACTTTTAAACCATTCTGTGCTAAAAGTCAGGCAGCTATCAAAGACTAATGGGGCTCCTCCAGAAGTCCACAACGGCCAACAAGAAGGGAGACCAGGTGGGACAACAGAGCACCAAAGAATAAAACGCTGTGTAACATAAAAAGTGAGACAGCATGTAAAGAAAGGGAAGGAAGGGAAAGGAGGAACAAAAGGAAAGGAGAAGGCAGGCAGACAGCAAGAGCGAGCCTCACCCAGTGCCCCAAACTAACGAGCACAAACTCATCTTGAAAATGGGCAATTAAAAGGAAAATGAAACAAACATTTATCCTGCTTTTTCTGTATAAAAATAGCAGCTACAAAAGTCACCAGGGGTAGGGGTAGGGGTAGGGTAGTGATAAGGGTACAGAAAGACTTCATAGAAATTTCATGTACTTCCTTATGAAAACACATTTGTGGGCATAATTTTTTCTGTTGACTATTATATTCTCTATACATAAAAATCAGATCTACATAAGACAATAAAAGTTTTCTTTAAAAAACAAAATCTCCTGGCCAGGTACAATGAAACACACCTATAACTGAAGAATTCTGGCAGGCTGAGGCAGCAGAATCACAAATTTAAACCTATCCTAGACAAGGTCTTGTTAAAGTAAAACCCTGCCCCAAAATTAAAGAAAATAAAAAAGGTCTATGGATATGGCTGAGCATCCGATCGTGGTTTGATCTCCGGTACCACAAAAAGAAAAGAAAGAACACTCCAAGTGACAACTCACTGGCAATGAACCCTCCAGAACCTAAAGTATGGTCTCTAAGCAGCATTCCTGTTAAAATGGTGTTTGTTTGCTTACAAAAGATGTTTTTAGGAACAGGGAATTGAACTCAGGACCTTGCACTTGCCAGGCAGGCACTTGCTTACAAAAGATACTTAAGCCTGAGACACCTCCGGCCTGAAAGAATGAAACTATCAGAATAAGGAGGTGGTGTTAAAAGGTCTCATGAGAAACTTGAAAGACTCCTTACTAGCCTAATATAGGACAATCTGAGAATTAAAAAGAATAATGATTGCAAAATGATTTAAGTGTTCTGAGAACGTAAAAATCCCCAAGTTATACAAGCACTTCTCTGCATGTATATTACTGGTCAATACAGAATTTTTAAAAATGGGTTTGTACTGACATTCAAAACACAAAGCCAAACAACAATAACCGCTGGAGACGGCGCCAGCACGAACTCCTCTGGCACCCGCTCTCCAAAAGCAGCACTGGCTCTCAGAGTAAGTAAACCGCCCTCCTTGATAATGGGAGGCCTTTCTTTACAAATGCTTCCCACCAGTAAGCACACAGGACAGGTAAAATTAGAAAGACATAACTCTGTAATCCTTAGCAACACAAATGATTTAAAATAAACTGTTGGCTGGGGAGGGGCTCAGTGGCACAAATGCCTGCCTGGTAAGTGCAATGTCCTAAGTTCAATTCCTGGTACCTAAGTAAATAAAATAAAATAAACTGTCAATGGAAGAAATCATGGGATAAAGACTGCCGGAAAACTACATTGGAGCTTAAATCCTTTCATAAAATAGCTATGAAATTAGAAAGAGAAACAAGGTTCACAAAAAACTAAAAGCAAGTGAGGTACAGTGTACATATCTAGTGGAGGCTGAGGCAGAAGAATGGCAAGCTCGAGGCTAGTGTAAGCAACATAGCATGACCCAGCCTCAAACACCAACAAACAAACAAACAAATAAAAAGAAAGCCAGCTAGCTAAAGGAAAGTCGTTGGGCCTGATCTGGCAAAAGTTTAAAAAGTATAAAAAGAAAGAAAATTTTAATAAAACACTCCTAATACAAATCTGCTGCTTAAAAATATTATAAGAGAAACACTAACTTTACATAAGCATTGTTTTCTAGTAGATTGGTATATATTTCTTTTGGAAACAGTGTAATACGTGGTAATTAGGTTTGCTGGCAAGCATGTAAAAAAAAAAACATTTTACCCAGAGAAAGTAAAACACACACAAAAGCAAACTTGAAATCTACAAAGCAACACTGTTATACTATAGCAATAGTGCAACAAAATTAAACATGGCAACTAAATAACACATAAGGTAAGTTCTGACGTATGAGGAAAGGAACAGGAAAAAAAAACTACTCTAAGGGGTGAAAATAAATGTCTGACCTAAATTTCACAAAAGATATAAAATTTCACTCTCGTTTCCCATTAAAGCAAACTCCCTGTACAAACTCAGGAGCAAGTTCTCTTCAGTATCTGTGTGTAATTCTGGGATGAAAACTGTACTAAGTAAAGTGTATCCATCGATCTATGTGGTGCGAGGGAAAAGCACAGGGAACGTTTCCAAGTTTTTAAAGCCTCACAGCAGTAAAAGACACACTGGAGCTCTCTCCTGAGCGTCTTTAGCTGCGCTGTCCTGGCTGCTTCAGTGGCCTGAATCGATTCAAAACGTTTTCTTTTCGCGGTCATCATGACTTTGGGAAAAGCCAGATATTGCACAGTGCCAGGTAAGGCAGATGAGGTGGATGAGAAGACTTGTGTTTTGGGGAGCCTGCTTTTCTGTTGGGTGGCACTCAGCAGCAGCATTCACCGTATTTTTGACCATGCCTCATAAAGACACAAAAAAGGGCTTCCAGAACGGCTTCAGAAAGCGGCAACAATGAAGGGACTAATAGGTGGGAGCGAGGGGGAGGCAATGTGTCTCGTCCTGTACTAATCTTTTAAAATTTACCATATATTTTGATCACACCTCCCCCCGCCACCCCAGGTAGTCAGTCTGTAGTCAAGATAAACCGTCTGGAAAAGCTTTCTAAACTAAAAAAGTATTCTTCACAGAAAACTAATTCTAAAAGCAGAACAGGTCTTTTCACTCAAATGGAACATGACACTTTTAGAACTACAAAGTTTGTAACTCCTGAAAGAAACATTTTAAGCTAAATTATAAAGCTGAAATTGAACATCATAGCTGCTTGTTTTTAATGGTCTTATGGAAAAACTTTCTTTCAAAAAAAAGGAACAAGAAATTCTACAGTTCAGAGAGGAGAACTGAGACGGTGCCTCTGACTCAATGCCTACGAGATTTCCAGAGTAACAACCCAACATCTTACTTCCTATATTTACCATTACTCTGTCGCAATTTATTGGGAACTTTTTTAACCTCTACTAAGATGAACTGATTTTCTTAAGCAATCGCAGGAAACTTACTACCAACAAAAAAATTATAGGTTGAATAATTAAAGTTACTTTTAAAAACAAACTAGGTTTCATAAATACTTGGTGACCGTCTATTGCCGGTGCTGTCTCTACCAGGTGCCCGCTCCGTCTGCAGGCCAGCCACGCGACACGATTCACTGATAGGCCTGTCAGGGTCAGGAGCAGCATGGCTGGAGGCCTGCACTCCAGAAAAGCCTGGCAAGCTCTGCGCTAGATTAAGGGAAGCAAATACAAACTCATTTCAAGAGTACCTTGTGATGGCTGAAAAAATATCTCTGTCTCCTTTTTCTCCAGATCTTCCTTGTGTGGCTTATATCCTATAATGAAGTCTTCTTGAAACACATGAAGCAACTGTGTATTTGAGCCACACTACAAGTACAAAAAAAAAAAGATGTTTTCACCTTTGAAGTGCTCTGTCTCCCATTCACCACCTCCCTAACATGAAATAAATAAAAAAGAAATAAATCTAACAATTTTTACTCATAGTATACTAATTAGGAAGGGGGAAGAAAACAACAAGAAAAAAATCATTAAACTATCCTGGTCACAGAGAACTGCTTTCCAAGATGTCACTGTCAGCGCAGGGCAGAAAAGCTCTAGTATGGGTCAACAGGTTTGCTACCCTAAACACAAAAACAAACTGAACAGAAAACAGACTTAAGTGACTTGCCCAAAAGGAACAGGTCTCGGGATGCGGCAGGAGGGCTAGGTTAACTACAGAAGGCTCCCCAGACGCACAGAACTAGCAGTTTTTCCAATTCCAATGGAGAGCCACCACCAAAATTAAAACCTCATGTCCCGTATCTCATACACTGTGGGCCTACGTAGCGGAAAGGATGAGAGATGTTACTGATAGCCAGTGGGGTGACACAGCTCTGGGGAAATGCACCCACAGGCAAGCCACAGCGATCTCTAGGACGGGGAGACATCGCAGCCAGCTGCCATGCTGATGGGCAATCCCGAACAGCCACTTAGAACCACAAAGGTGAACTGAGATCTGCGGAAAGGGCTGGAGCCAAACAAATGCTTTTCACAGAACTGGGTCAGGTGAACTAGATGGCTGCCCCACAGATTTTAAGACAAGGAAGCAGCTAAGATTCCCCGGGCACTCGATGAACAGGCTACAGTCTCAGAAAATTAAGAAAAACCAGCCTCCTTCCACAGAAGGGGAAAAGGGCTATAATATTAGATGCAAGTTAGAGAGGATTTTTGCCTCTTCAGGTAAAAATATTTTTTAAAAATCCTTTCGTATGCATACTACAGAAGGCACTTCCTCAGGAAAAAAGAACAAATGAAAGAAAAAGGAACAGTAATGTCTTCATGGGTACAGAAATAACAGAACACACTGGGAATAAAGCAGATGGGTTTTAAACTTTACTTAAACTTTGATAAGCCCACGTCCATTACCAGCGTTTGCAGCACGTCACCCTTGTTTCACTTAAGACAGCTACAGGTCGAAGGGGAGGGAGATGGGGAAGCAGGAAGCAGGAAGAACGGACAGTGCACGACGCTAGTACCCCGCAGTGCGGAATGCAGCGGGGCTGACAGTAACATCCAGACCATCAGCAACTGAGGTGTCTGGGGAAGAGGTCAGCCACACTTGCTCCAGGACCCCAAGGAGTAGAGCAAGTGCACCCAGCAAGCTTAAAACGATGGCGCCTGGGGATGAAAGGGTTAGGGTCACCTAGACAGCATCAGTGATTTGTTACCAGGACCTGACGTGGTAATTGCTCTACGTTGGTGGAAACAACTATATTTTCCCCAACACAGTGTGCAAAGAATCATGGAAAGATTATGACTGAACACTATACTATGTCTGAAATACAGTTGCCTCTTTCTTCATTTGTTTAACAAATTAATAACTTCCATGCCAATGTAATCTTTTTTAGTATTTAAATGATTGTTACTTCTATTCCTTAGTCCAGACAGGATCCTGAAGAAAGAAATACCTTGAGGGCTAAAAGGGTTTTACAAACTCCTGCAAGGAGAAAGGTTCCCTTCTTGGCTAGGTAGAAGGTGGGGAGGAGCACTAACTACACAGAGATCCCAGTACCCACAAAAAAAAAAAAAAAAAGATACACAGAGGGTTGTGACAGGGCATGTGTATACTTGGGGCCTACTTTTCATCTGCATTTTAATGAACCGCTTCAGAGAACTCAACCTAGGCAAAGGAGCCCATCTGTAGGGCCAGATACTGCTGAGTTGTAGTAACACCCCAGCCTGTGTGCAGCTGCGCTATACTCCCTGCAGCAGGGCAGGGCAGGGCCGGGGTAGTCTCCCTGACCCAATCAGATTCCTTTACAAGGAAAAGGACACAGATACATTTCTAAGTCATGGGTAGATTTTAACAGTAGGAATCAATAAAAGCTGGCGGTGTTCAGTATTGAGCAAGAATTATTTTGGGAATGAAACATATGCATCTAAACCACTCTGGGGTAGAGTGCACTAATATTATCAATTCACAAGCATGCTTTTACTTGGTCAGTTATCGCATCAAGTTCAATAATGCAGCCAGGTCGGGCAGTAGACTGTTGGCTCACAATATTAAACACTTCTCCAATAAGTTTCTGTAAATAAAAAACAAAATGTTAGTGTGCAAACAAATTTATGTCAAATCAAATTTATAGTTGCTAGGATATTCGGATCATATTCCATCTCAGACATTCAGGTCCCTCCCAAACATTCACTGATTGACAATGGCAATTAATACATCCCAAAAACTGTTTCAACTTTCTATACTCATTCTCACTTTTAAAGTTAATTGAGAAGTTATAAATCTGACAGTGCTCACATAAATACTCTGTAACTTGAAGACATCTAGGTCTTTCTCTCTGTAAGGCTGAGTGCCCAGGGGCCTCACTAAGGGTCCCGCCCAGTGCCTGAGCTGGGGTGCAGATGGACAGCCCCGTCAGAGGAAGGCGGGCACGATGGAGAAGGTGGGCTCTACTCCTTGGGATGAGGGTGTGCACACGATGTAGGAAGCCTAAGTTTCAGTCCCCGCAGCTTGCTGCTGAAAGGAAGCAGTCTTCCACCTCCCACCCTCCACAGAGCCTTCTCCTGTATGAAAACTGAACCTCTCCAGAAAGCTGCTGCCTCTTTGGCACCTTGTCCACTACCTTCCCCACCTTCAGAACAGCGCCAAGATCCAGGTAGCCAAAGGCAGCTCTGAGAGGAAAGAGCGCCTCCACTGGAGTGCAGGATCCCTGCAGACTTCACCAGCAGAATTCCAGAAGACACACACGGGAATACATTCCAGGGTTATTTGATCAAGAGGGAAAAACTAAAAGCCTAAGTGGTTGGGAGGGGCTGAGTTAACTGATAGGGGTACATTTACCGGAGACCTGGGCTTTAAAGTGTAAGCTCGATCCCAGCACTCAGGAAGCTGAGGCAGGAGGATCGTTCTAAGTTCGAGACCAGCCTGGGCTATAAACTGGCTCAAGGTCCGCCTGAACTGCATAGCAAGACCCTGTCTCAAAAAGACCAAAATAATAATAATAATAACAATAATAATAATAATAAAATGTGAGCTCACACACCTGGAAGCCATGCTGATAGTCTGGTGGCCTTATGAACAGAAACCAGGACTCAATCATGGCCTCCAATCTGTCAGGTGAAAATCCCACCACTGATCAAGAGCAAGAGCTCTTAAAGTATTGTACGCACACGGGTCTGGAGAGTTTGTGGAAATGTAGGTGTGTTGCTTTGATGCTTGAGAGTACATTTATAAAAAGTTTCCTGCTGCTGTTGGTCCGTTAACTGCACTTTGAGGAGAAAAACTTCTTAGTGTTAGAGAAATTCTGGCTCCTTCACCTGACAGATTGGAGGTCACAAAAGGCCAGAAATTCTACTTCTAGGACCAAACACCTCATTCAGTCCCCAGAATTCCACTTCACCTCCAACCTAGGGATTCTGACAGTGGAAGAGAACACCAGAATTAGGTTCAAGTGTGTGAAATACTCACCTTAGGCACAAAAACCTAAGGGGCACCAAAAAACTCAATAGATGATATTTTAATGCAGTATTTTTTAAAAATCGAAGTTAATGCCAAAAATCTGTAACGAATAAAATACCAAAGTTTTACATACAAGATCCAATAGTGTATCAGTAAGCCTGGATGCATGTTTTTACTTATTTTTATGTTTTTTTCCAGATCAAACTCATCAATAATATTTATAAAATCTATTTGTGTGCTTATTTTCAGTAAAGAGAACTGCCTTGTTTGGCAAGGTCTTCTGATCAAATGGTACTCTCAAGTGATTTTTAATTAATGGTACATGGAAATTCTTTTATAGTATGACATGATGACTGTGTAAAACAAAATTTTTTCAAGTCCACTTCAAAATATGCGTAAGTCTGCACTAAGCAAGATTTATGAAACCAATCCCAGAAGATCAAACACAATGCTGATCTTACATTACAAATTATGACCTGCATGTCACAAAGAACTACTTCAGATGAAACTGCTACAGGACTTTAATTGTCAATATTCAAGAGCCAAGAGCCAGCCGGGCGTGGGGGCACGCGCCTGTAATCCCAGCACTTGGGAGGCTGAGGCAGGTGGATCACTGCGAGTTCGAGACCATCCTGGGCTACCAAAGTGAGCTCAAGGCCAGGCTAAACTGCTTAGGGAGACCCTGTCTCAAAAAAAAGAAAAAAAAAAGAGCCAGCCCACTACGTTCGTTCTTGCACAGATGGCTGCCACACGCTGTAGGGTGCACTTCTCTGCCTACTTTTACTTGGCCCAAATTCCCTCTGCAGAGCCTGTTTCTTTTTCTACCTTTAAGAAAACTTTGCCACTGTTAAAAAGTATATGTATGTGATTATGTATAATTATGTATATGTATATGATTATGTGTATCTATGTTTAATTACGTATATATACATGATTATGTATGATTATGTATACATATATGTATTTAAGAGCCAGGCTACTCACTGCTGCTTTTTGTAAATGAGATATATCTACACATAGCAAAACTTTGCTCCACATAAAATTTCAAAACTTAAAACTACTTCAGTTAACTTTTCATGTCTCCCTGTCAGTGTGAAATGAGTATGCTGAGGTGATCCAAATGACACCCCCCAAGCACGTCCACTCCTAATTCTAGGACTGGAGAAGATGTCACCTCAGGTGTTCAGAGACTTCTGTCACGGGGGGAAACCAGCCAACACTACCATTCCTCTGACCACTCCCATCACTGCCCTCGGACACCAGCCGGGCCATTCCCTACTTGTAGGAGCTTGCACCACGTAAGCTGGGATGACCTCTGTGGGGCAGGTCCCTTCCTGTGTTCACGTCGGCAAAGCCTCTCCTGCCGTGTGAAGTGAGGTGTTTGCATGCTGTCAGGACTGGCCTGTGAACACCCTCAGCAACCTACCACTCTGCCCACCACAGGCGACGGCTCCATCCTCGGCCAGACCTGAGCGCCCTGCTCTCCCTTCAGGGCCCTGGAGGGCCATCTCTGCCAGGCTCCTTGCACAAACCCTATCAGCTACCCCTTCCTGCGTATGACAACTGTTTCCCACCCAGACTCTGGCCAACCCAGAGGCCCCTGACTGCCTGTTCCTGAGAAAAGGCCTCCTCGGCAAGGTGTCAGTTAATTCCTCACCAAATGAAGAAAGTCCTTGTGCTGCCTCCCCTCCTATTACAGACCGAGCCCAGTGCTGCTGTGCAGTTTAAATGCTCCATTCCACAGCGTACAACGTGAACAAGCCGCTCAAGTAGGACTCAAGGCTGGGGCTGCAACTCACTAGAGTGCTTGCCTAGCATGTGTGAGGCCCTGGGTTCCAGCCCCATGACTACTGAGGGAAAAACCATGCAATTAGCCAAAGGAAATATGAAAAGGCACATCAAAATAACTAGATACCAGCTGAAAAGAGTGAAGATTTCACAGAAGAAAGGGAAAAGGATGGGGGAAAGCCACACTCAGAGACTTTACCATACTGACTTAAGGACCTGCACATCATTGTAATAGCTTCCTGCTGCTGTCAGTAGGTAGTAAAACTCTTCAGCATGATATTCACTAATGCATTCACTGACCCAAACATTTACTGAGAGCTTATCAGGTATCACTGAGGACACCATATTATCACCCTTATCTCACACTCAAACAAACCAAAGACAAACAGCACGCAGATAAACTATGTGCCTGGCAGATGGCAGCTGGGAAGTGGGCGGGGAGCTGGCTGGGGTCGGGCAGGCTTCCTGACTAATGCCCAGAGGTGGACGCAGTCCTGGCCGTCAGAGGGAAGCATAGGAGCTGTGCTGAGGACAAAGACTGGACAGCGGAGTGTGGGGCACGGCCAGCACCAGCCAGGGGGTTGCGCAGCCCGAGCCAGCAAAAGCAAGAGGCCAACAGCAAAAATACAGCACCAGGAGATACGGCAAGGAATGCTGGAGTGGGGGTGAGGGTCCTCCAGGTCATCGTGTGGGCCTGACTCAGAGTAGAACGACTCAAACGACATTTTAGAAGCATCTCTCTGACCCTATGCTGGGAACAGAATCTAAGAAAGCACGGCAAAATCATAAAGAAACACACATTTTTTCACAATCTGGCCTCGACCTTTCCATCCAATGTCAGTTACTTCCAACAGCCATTTACATCCTGTGCTATGGGGGAGTAAACTACAGCTGTGTGTCACCTAAGACATGAGAAACCTTCCTGAGGGCCGCGTCACAGTGGACTTTGGTGTAGGCCGAACGTCACCGTGCATGCTCCTGGAACCTGCGCAGTACCAGGCAACGATCACCTAAGACGGCCACTCAGGAGACGCGGCTGCTGCCCACACAGCTCAGCTCCCTGCACCACAGCCTGGCATCTGCCCAAGCTCGAGTGCCAGCTCCGTCTGTGCATTCCGACACCTCTATGCATTTTTCTGTTAGCACAGAAATGGCATTTTTAAAGTCACTCTGCCTCAGAAATCACATTTCAGGGATCACAGCACACAAAGCTAATTTGCATAGCCTCTTGTGATTGTGATGAAAATTCTTACTTCTTTTTGTATTTTAAGCACTGCTCTTCATGGCAAATTTTAGTAATGAACTGAACATACAGAGATTTAAGGTCTGTAACATTATTCCTTTGGACTACTTCTGTTTCACCGTTCATGGAGGGCTGTGTTCAGAGTGAGTAACGGCAGGTGTAATTAGGGTACATCGTGTCTGATGTTCTTCATCTGTTTCAATCTATCTTTTCAGTTTGTATTTTTATTAGTATATAATGCAGTACACAATGACTGCACCCCTTGCAGGAGCTGGTACATGGACATAAGACACCTCAATTCTTTTTCCATCCTCTTTCCCTTCACTCTCCACCCCTCCATATCTTAGTCCCCTTCATCTATCTCCCTATTTCCCATTACCTACCTTTTATTTTGGTCTTTATTTATAATTTGGGCTTCTCATATAAGTTAAACTATGTTATATTTAAGTTTATGTGTCTGATTTATTTCACTTAACACTATGGTCTTAAGGGACATTTTCCTGTAAATGATTTGAATCTATCCTTCTTCATGCCAGAATAGTATGCCATTATATGTAAATACATCTTCTTTATCCATTCATCTG